AAATTAAAGATATATCATAAAATGATATTTTACAATTAAGTATTGAACATTTTTTTTTCTGATTGATAACAATGATTAAATTTTAATTTTCATATAAATTCAATAAAATTGAATTTCATATAATTCAATAAAAATAGAATGATATTTGAAATGTAATCAATAATAAAATAAATCATAATTATATATAATTGAAGAATAAAAATTTTTTAATATAATTAACAAATAAAAATATCTCAAACTTATTAAAATTTAAATAATAATTAAATTATTATTGAAAATAATATTATAAATGATTTGGAATATCAATTAATGTTAATTTAATAAATTAAGTTAATATTTGTTTAGATAAAAGAGCTAGAATTTAAAGAAATATATTAATCATTTTAAAATTTATATTTATTTATTTAAACATATAAATATTTATGTTAATGGTACTGAGTATTTTAGTGAAACTTTAAAATTTAATGGAATACTTAAAATTTATTAATGGATTTATAAATTAAAATATTTATCTATATATTTTGAAAATAAATTTAAATTACACGAAGAGATTAAATCTTTGATATTAATCATTTAATAAGAAAATAATTCAAAAAATAAAGAGAATTAAAGATTATTATTAATAAAAATATTATTACAAATATTTATGCATTTGTGAAAAATTTAAAGATTTATAAATAAAATAAAATAGTTTACATACAAAAGTTTATATTATAGTAGTTCATATTATATACAAAAAAAATATTAAAATCAATTATTGATCATATTTAATATGAAATGGAATAGAATTTTTTTTAATCATTTTTATAAAAATTTGAAATTGTATAAAATTTAGTAGAATTTTTATTATATAAACACCTAGTATGTGAATATTTAATATGAATATTCTTTTATATGAATATTATATATTATTTTTTTATTGTATATATAAACAAACAAAGTGTTTTTTTTATATATAAAATTTATTATCAAATTAATATAACAAATGATATACAATCACAAACAAAGATGCATATCATTTTGAAACATTCATAAAACAAAATTTATTTTTTAAAAATAGAACATTTTGAGATTCAAAAACAATATAATATTATGGAATTAATAGCAAAAAGAATTATTAATGAAACGATCATATAATTTGATTTTTCTAGAAAAATGTAGGATCTAAATCTAATTTTTTTTTTTAATTTTCTTAAAAAAAAAATACTGAATATTATTTTTTTTTGCAGTAAATAAATTTTTGTTCATTTTGTAAGTATTAAATTATATGTTTATTTTTCTATATGATTATTTAAAAATTTTCTTATGTAAATAATTTTTTTTTGGTTTCCAAATTAATATTCATAATGGATTCTATTCATAATGGATATTCTATTATAATTCTATTATAAAATTTCATTAAACAATTATATATTTTATATAATTTTTAAATATAAACTCTAATAATATCAATTATTGAAAATTATTAAAAATTATTATTGAAAATTATTAAAAAAATAAATAGAAATTGTGATTTAAATCTGAAATATTGTTCAAATTGCAATAAAAAATAATTTTTTTTAAATATATTTTGTTATAAATTTATATAATCTATTATATATAATTATATAATCTATTATAAATTATATAATCTATTATAAATAATAGAAAAAAACTGATTATTATGATTAAAATATAAATTATTTGCTTATAATCTAAAATTATATTAAAATTATATTATATATTAATATTTATTTAGATCTATATTATTTCT